TTAAAATAAAATAATATTAATAATGATATTATATACATATAGATATCATAACATACATATTATGCATTATTAAACATATTATCATATACACATATTATCATAATATTTAATCACACAAATACCAAATCAACTACTATATAATCACACACCAACCAACCACCACCACCGACCCAACAATGCACCCAACACAACACACACACACACCAATGCACCAACACGCACCACACACCACATACACACAACACCACACACACACACACACTAACAACTAAATATATACTATATATAACTATAATAATACACTCAGTTCTATTACAGGTATACATTTACTAGTATATCCTATTACATAATTCAATACCTATATGTATAGCTATATTTATACACATATATGTAAAAATAATAACATAAAATTGGAAAAATTAGCACTTCAGATATAAATAAGAGCATTACGGTATCATTCTCGGTTACAAATCTTACATTACCATACTATTACACAGTGAGTGTGGCTAACTTGAATGTACTGTCCAACATTGTCACTAGATTGTCATCTCTTCTGTTAGTGAGGTGAAGACCTGAGTGTATGTATGTATGCTATGTTATGTATGTATGATAAGTATATCAATGGTAATGATATAAATCTATGTATTTTACTGTTATGTGACTCAGTGAATAAATGGTTATTTCGTAGCACATCGAGATCATCCCTTGTACATCTACGAGGCATTGCTTGCTGTTCATGCATACTTCCCAACTTGGCGTCAATATCTAAAGCTAGTCAGCTCAGCTCGTGAGGATGTATTTACTGATATATATGTATATAGTATTAACTATATTTAATGCTGAACAAAGCATACTAGTTCAGTTACAATATTCGCATATGATGTTATTTTAATACAAGATACATGGTGTATTATGCTTTAATGTATCTATATAAGCACATGTTATATTGTGTATAGACACTTTTTAAATTGATAACTTTGTTATAATACTTTATGTGTAAGCTAACAATTTTGACCTTCTTCAGTAAGACTATGTAGTGTATGTATTGTAATCGAGTATACTTATTGTTTACTATTATGTAATAATAGCTACTCGTACTGTGTATTATTTATGTATGTATATGCATGTTAATGATTATATTGTATATTGGTATATGTAATGTATATGTATATGTATGTTTGTATATGATCTATGTATTTATTGTACTTAATGATATGTATATGATACTAATGCATATCAAATGCATATATGTATATATGCTATAAACTAGCAACTAAATGTATCAATAATACTCACATATATAACACCAACAACCATATTACACCAATACTAACCTAACATGACACACCCTACTATATATATAATATACACATACATACCATATATTATATACTAAAATATATCCTATAACATATATATATGCTCACGTACTCTTTGACACCTCATATGTGAATCTTCGCCTATCACTTGCACGCAGCACAGTCCCCGGCAAGGGCGCGCGAGCCCAGTCGCACACGTCTGCCTCGGCCACTGCAACTCCCAATTTCCTCGGAACCCAGCGTGAGCATATTTCCAATGCCCGCCAAATACGCTGCTCGCTACAGACTAACCAAGGCATTCTTTCACAAATATACTTCGAACGCTTAATTCCAAATTGTGCCTTCGCGAATACCGTTAGGTCTGGACGTTCATTTGCCAGACATGCCGTCCTCGTGCATGCACGCGGCGTGTCAATAATTTTCTGAAATGATGTGTGTCAGTGAGACCGTTACTTACAGGCCTTAGTCAATTAAACGAAAGTGTGTTTCACTATTGTTGTTCTTTCTAACTTATACATTGCTGAACATTACTGGAAAAGAAAGCTATACAAATGGCCAGCATGTGGGAAGCGAAGACCAATCGTACAATTCTTCTTACTGGATAAATTGATCCCTAACGATTTTTTTTGCCGCGGCATGCTCCCTCACACCCCACCTTTATCGCGGGTCTACTTGTCGACTGATCCCATATCAGTATTGCGTCTGCGGCCGAGCCATTCTATTCATATAGGGTGGCAGTGTTACACCCCACCCAGGGA